TTTTTGAAGTTTTTCCTGGCAAGGGAGAATGCTATTTGGGCTCTATCGCTTTTATGTCTTTATGCAGTCTTATTTTCTTGCGCCATGCATCATAGCACTCTGAGTCAAACCATGGATCTTGTCCATCTGTCTTAACTGAGCATTTCTTGATGAATTTGTCAGTGATATTAAAAAGTTTTTCTTTAAATTTTTTCCACCCAATTTCAGGTTCTGTGCCATTAAGCAATACATTCCAGTCTGTGTGCCGGAGTTCATGGTTTAGCCTCTCCCAGTTCACGTTTTTATAGTTATAGCACATACGCTTAACCGGCTTCTTCCTATTTACCTTAATGTTGATCTTAAAGTTGATTGGAAAATGATCAGACTTACAGACGCTATCTCGCTCACCTACCATTAGGTCACTGATATTAGACTCAGAGTTTGTGAGCAAAAGGTCCAGTGTTTTGCCTTTGCAATGTGTGGGTGTAAGTACACATTGCCGAAGGCCAAGGTCTACAAAAGATTCAACAAAAATCTGCTCAATAGGACAGGAGCCGGCCAAGGTAGACCAGGAGACTCCAGTCAGGTTGAAATCTCCCAGGATAAATACTTTGCTTAGCCCTCTTCTTCGAAGAAGAGTTTTCAGAGATCCAAGAATTTTTTCATGATTTGCAAAGCCCAGTGTACCAACACGATAACATGTACAGATAACAAATTTAATGCCCGTTGATGTTGTAAACTCCACAGCAAGAATCTCTGCCCCCTCTTTAAGTCGGATTTCTTTCGAAGATAATTGAAGGTCTGCTCTCACAGCAATCATGACCCCGCCACCATTTCTCCTAAACCTGGTCGGATTAGAGGGATCAGGTGGATGAGTTTTCTTAGATCTGTCAGAGCGAAATATCTTATATTTATCAGGGTGCAGGAATTCGCTATCAGCTATGGAGTTTTTAAACCAAGTTTCGTTAAGTATTGCAATATCTATATTTGCCTCATTAAAATAAGTTGAAAGCTCAAGACATTTGGTGTTATCAAGCATTGGGTGGGCATTATTAAGCTCACCGAAGGGAATAAGGCCTTGAACATTCTGAAAGTAAACATTCAATACCTTACTATTCCCCAACCTAATATCTATAGGAGGGGGACCTGGGTTTACGATTCCAGGATTTACAAAAACTATCAAAATACCATTCAACAAGAACAAACAAATTATGCATCCAGTTAGTGCAATGCCAGCTCTGCCAGTAGATAAAAAGTTTAAATTCCTATAAATTGTAACATGGCAGAAATTGTAAAGGCCATCGAAACTATAATCATTCCGGAAATAATACATATTTGCTAAGTGTAGAAGGAAATATACAGTAAAATATCGGCACAGGTTAGGCACTGGATATGTTGGTACAAAGGCTCGGCAATCATATGTGACTCTAGAAAAAGCCAACCCACTAACCCCCGCACTAGTGATGATGATGAGTGAGAAATGGCATATGAATAAAACATAGAATATATATAAAAAGAAGCTAGGATCAATGCAGCTGTCTAAAATGTCAAAGATACTACCTGTACCACGTCTACGGTTCTGATGTTTAATGGCTCTTGCGAAAGAATTTCCACTAAACACTCCAACTCTAAATCTACATGTTACTAAATCGATCATGGTAATTTACAGGTAAGTATACTTGCCAGACTACATCTGCATATAACTAGTTATACAAGGTCCATAATACAGCTCAGGTTAAACTATTGATATACAAAGGGATTAAAATATCTACTGTGTATGGCACGAATATAAGACCTAGCCAACACCCCCATTCCTTTCTGAGGATTGGGGTGAATACCATTGCTATCAAATAACGGGTCAAATCTCCTAACGGGTTCCTTATAAGTTCTCTTGAATTTAGTGAAGGGATAAAAGACATCCATAAAGAAGAACCTCCTGAATACACACTCATTATATAAAATCCTATTAAAGTCTATTATCCTCTTGTTAGTTAATCTATCATCATCAGACGTTAAGGGTAATGGCAATAAAGATTGAACATAAACCTTGCAATTAGGAAATAATTGGCATATCTTACTAAAGAGTTGCTTCAGAGGCCCTCTAACTATGCCTACATCGTCTACCCGTCTAATATCGTTCGTACCAACACTAATTAAAAGTTTATCAACCTGAACATCAGGATGTGCAGCAGAATAGTCCTCAAGCTGCTTCTGGACCTTGTCCATCTTTGCTCCACCTTGTGCAACATTCTCGACTTTGACTTTCCCTTTCCCCAGCTTGTCCGAGTCCAATCTCTGAGCAAACGAGTCTCCAGCAACCAACGTGACTTTCTGCACAGGTTCTTTGACTTTAATGCCACAAGCAGGTGTACTAGTCTCACTGGCACTGTTGGTTTCAGAGCTGGCCTGGCTACCAGTTTTCACGATTGCGCGAAAAGACAGGGAGTATCGCACTTGGTCTTGACCATCCCCCTCCGTACCAGTAGCCAGCTCTGCACGCACCTGATGCTTCAGATTCTGCTGTGTCCCAGGCCTCATTACGACAAGGCTGTTGTTCTTCATCCTTATCGCTTTGGCACATTTAGGATTCTTCTTTGTACCCTCGTAAAACTCAAGTGTCCGTTCACACCCCAGGGAGAAAGAGCATATCGATTTCTCCTGATCGATGAGTGTCTCGTCGTCACGGTGTAACGAGGTGCTGGCCTGGTTGTTATTATACTTAATCACCAGACAGGAGTCCAAAGGTCCAGTTATCTCTGTGCTTGAGTTAACGAGACTCAGCAGCCTTTTGATGTTAGGGAAACTACTGATATCCTGTGGTGAGTGTACTGGGTTTGTGTCCGGGTACGTATAGGCCTGATCCTGCGAGCATAACCAAGCGGTTTGAGCCTTGTTTCTCCCCCCAGGGTTCATCTTCAAGGACCCACACTCCACCCATACTGCATCAAGGAGGACATCATCACCACAGAAGTCCTCTAGGTGCAAAACAAAGTTGTCCACCTTTCCCTCACGCTTAGGGAGCTCGCTCTGGACACAGTTGAGGATATTTTGCAGATCCTCAATTGAAGCAGCTTTAACATAGTCGAAAATCTCTTCAAGGTTTATCATTATTATCAGAGATTGTCGAGTCTGGCAGCAAAGTTTGCCGGGGAACCATCCATAACACCCCAGAGTAGGCAACCACACAACACTGAACACTACCTGAAGGAGAAAGGGCAAGAGAAAATGGGTAATGGTACAAGTGGTTCTAGGTAAATTTTGCCAAGCGTAAGTAAATTTTGCCAGTGAAACTTTAGCTAGAATAATGATAAGAGGGGCAATATCAGAGTTGTAAATGTGTGACTAACATCAATTATGTTATCATTGAAAGCTAAATTATGGATAAAATCAAAGTAGAAGATCAACTTACAGCGTGTTTGAGGGTGTTGCTGCCCAGTGCAAGCACTGGGCGAGAGAAGCCTAACTCAAGGGTGAACTTCAGGAACCCCAGCGTACCCGCATACCAGGAGATCGGCTGTACTTCCTAGCCCGTCATGCCATCGTACATGCCTGAATAAATGTAATAGATTTGTAGTGTTGTAATTAGTTTTAAACTAAATGTGGTTTCAGAGAAATAAAGAAAATACTGCTTGACTCACCAATCTGAATCACTACTCGTCTTACATGACTGATTTGCACCTTTGCACCTTTTGAACACCCTGCAAATATTATACCCATAATTACTGGCAGCTATATGGATATTGGATATATGCAGAACGCACACCAAGGACGTGTCTTTGTTACGTTACCAGGCAACCACTAAAATCTCAAAACATTTTTAATTGGTCGGGACACACTGACTCGAGCAGACAGCTTTTCGGAATTCGTGTACCCCAAATATGCCCCTGTTTACCCTGTTTGTTCAGTCATATGCCCGTCTGTAGTGAAGAGCTCGTTCAATAGATGGATATTGGGTAAGACTCAGCATTGATTGTGACAGTGTAACATATACCAGGGTGATCTTTATTGTTCTTCTTTGGGTAAGTGATGTGGACTGTGCAGTGCACACAGTAGACTCCAATAGCTCGGACTTTTCGTTATTTCGAGCACAGTTTCCTCTATTCTTAATATGTGTACCATGATAAAACTGCAACCTTCCAGTTCAGATGAAAATGAATACAAAGTGCCCATACGTGAAAATAAGTTTCGACAATCAACTATCTAAAGCCTCAATAATACAGAGATCCTCCAAACATTTAGTGCTTTACGGTCGACCGGAATCCTGTCATGTTTAAAGGTACTGGTCCCTCTAACATTTCCAATTTCCACCGTTCTTACCACTGATTTGTCTCCACGAAAAGTACGTGGATGTAACGTAAAACCGGCTTGGTAAGTTGTGAGAAACACAGTGCTAAATAACAATGCTAAATAACAGTGACTAAGAGTGCATTGCATACGACCTGCACGGTCTCCCCCACACTTTCTGCCCTATTTGCTCTGCTCTAAGTCTGAACGTTACTTGTCTGAAATACCGGAGTTCATTAACTACTACACATTTTGCTGCCAGGTCCTACATCACTCTTGACAGGAGCCTTCTCAGATGGCTATTACGATAGAGTGTAAGTAGAACAATGCACTGCTCGACACGTTATTGTCTACACATATTTAGCATCTGAAAGTTTACCTGAATACTTAGGCTACTATTGTATATGTTTTTTCGATTTTCTTTTAGATTTGCCCACTTTTGCCACTTTTTTCCTACTCCTCCGACGAACAATATCCCCTTATAATGGATCTTCCTACTTTCCAGCAACCTACAATTTTTTTCAATACTAGTTACCAATGTTCAACGTAAGTCTACTAGCCTCCTCTTGATTCATTTAGCTCAGTAGCCCTATTGGGCATGTATTGTTGTGAGGGCCACCATTTCACTGATACGATGGAAGATTTGTCAGGTGGCAGAGATCATCTGACAAATCTGGTTAAGTACGGAAAATAGAATACAGTAACATTAATATGATCTTCCAAAGATAGCAACAAACACAATAAAGGTGGTTGTTAGAGCTTCGCAGCTGTTTCTATTTCCAATAGATATTATTTCTAATTATCACTTTTTGTTCTCATCGTATTTTTCACCTAAGTTTTCATCCTGAAAATCGTCCTTTGGGAAACTAAACAACGTTTTGAAGAGCATAGAATAAACACTGTTTTACATATAAGCCTCTTTTTTGTGAAGTTAATTCTCGTTTAAAAAGTAAAGATCAAGTTCCCAGCGAATGGTTACCAAGTAGGTGAAGTTAATAATCAAATTCTTATTGCGGGAAAATCTTGATTGTGTTTTTTGTTGTTTTGTCACACGTGAGTCATGTGTGACAAAACAACAAAACTTTTCGGCTGGCCAACTAAACATCCAGTACGTGAACTTGATGAATTGTTCTTTCAGTTATTTTAAACACTCCTCCTAACACTCTTCCCAGTACTTTTAGTACGCCTGCACGTGTACAATATGCCAACTGTTGACCGCGCTCTAAACTTGCTCGTGATTGTCACTATGATAGTCATTGTATTTTATAGCGGTTGTAACTTTGCGATTTGTGACGCGATGTTATTGTTTAATATGAGCGTTAATGATCAGCGATCTGCTACGTGAAATGATGATGTCGGATTACTCCTCTTATGGTCCTCACATCTTCTCGTCGTGTCCCCATCGTGTCTCGGGGTACCATACAAAATCTCTTATGAGGTGCGGAAGGTGTTTATGTTTAGCGATCGAACCTTTTTATTGTTTAATATCATGATGGCTGTTTAGGATCAAATTTATAGTGATAGATGAGCATTGCTACAAGAAAATGGATTTATCTGAGTTAGTAAAAATAATTGGTCATATTCACGACCTCTCACTTCCTCTATAAAATGATAATATAACGAATGATTCAGATGTTGATGTTTTGCCAGATACTAATTCTCAAAGGCCCTTGCATCTTACATCATTTATCTACTGATCTAGTTAAGTATGACGTACATTGTGACGTCTGTGCGATGACTCCAGACAAGTCTCTCGCTGAAAAAGGTCCTAATATCGACATTACGTATTGAGTAACCACTGAAAGGGCCGACGATGCTGTCTTTGTTGCCACCGATGAACATTACCATGACGTATTGATAAATGTGGCGCATCTGATCGCATTAACATAATCAACAATAGCGACCACGACCTTGATACTTCAGGCATATCCTTCAGACCAATGACACGACTAAGACGGTCATGGGAGCATGATTTGGAACACCATTGTGCCGGAAATGCATTTACCCTGGCTTCTGAAAGTCATGATGGCCCTCTGCCATTATAGTTGGAGGAGCGTGAAACAGGAAAATGTACAACGGTAATACACCAGCGAGGCAACAGCATTGTTATTCATAAATCTAATCAGCAGATCTTCAGCATTAAGCGCTATTAATTCATGTATCAGCCACTTAACGGTGCCCTCTCATAAGTGCAGAGCACATGGTACGACACATTCACTGCTCTAGCTACATTAGAGGTAATATTCAGTGAGGCTCACTCAAATGACGCGCTGCCTCCCATTCTGTAGACTGCATCCCATTCTGTAGACTACATCCCGTTGATTGAGAACAAAGTTACTCACGTGGTTTTGTCCTTGACGCTCTATTTCCTGGATCTCCATCATGTGGTTCAGTCCAGATATTCACTACTCCAGGTAGATCACGTTCTTATTGTCTGAAGGGATGTTCGTATTGTTGGCACCAGAAGTTTGCCAACACTGTTGTGGTAATTGTTGTGTCCAGTAGTCATGTGCCGATAGATTTACAGGTAAAACTGGCCGCCTTTGTTTTGTATGTTTTGTCTTAGCAGTCCCTCCGATACTCAATTTAATGAAATTCTTTTGTCATACAGATCAGACATAGTTTCTTCTTTTGCGCACGCGGAATTTTGTTACATTATTGTGATTTTTGGATACCTTCCAAGCGTCGATTGGTGGTTTATGTAAATGTAATAGACGAGAGAGAAATGAAGCTTTACATTTCAACGCCAACGTTAGTTTTATAAGTTGTAACATTTTGTCCGGAAAATATGATAAAATTTACTGAAATTGTACCTTGACTAGACGTTTAACGAGTACATTGAGGGACTTATTGTTAAAGGGAATGGTCGGTATAAATGGTGTATACGAAGTACGGATTCAGTAAGTGATAAAGATGATGCTATGATTTATAGTTAGGACAGCTATCAGTTCTAAGTAGCGAGGATTGGGCAGCTTTAATAATACCAATCACACAATCTCTTTAAAAGTTGTATTCTGGGTGTTAAACTTACTCACATATGCAATGAATTGTGGTACAACTCCAAAGGTCGGCTCCTCTCTTCCTATTTGCCGGAATATCGTCGTTGTTACTGTGTGGGACCAACTGTAACCTTTTCTGGCTTCTGACATTGTTGCCCAACTTTCAATGTGCCTATTTTAGTCTAAAGTACTCCTCCCGGCTACCACTTCTCGTTAGAACAAGTTCTAATCGTTCCTCCCTGGAAGTTTGTCAACTGTCGGCGTAGTTTAACTTTGTCTTTACTTTCGATTCTTACTTGCAGTAATTCTAAATGACGTTTATTTAAAACCTGAAACATGGAGAAATATATTTAAGAGTCTAAAAAATAACAAATTTACAGAGATGTTTCCATTTTCTGTAAAAAACGGGAAGATCCAATGCCTCGAGATAATTCAGGGTCTTTCTGGATTTGAGCTGTAAGTGCCAATCGTAATTAAAATGAAGTTAGTCATTACATACCAATGCTGTAAAAACGAATTTTAACACTACAAAGTAGCCTTTACGTAGTCTATACTAATTCACTCTACAGTGATGCAGATGAGGTTTTAAAGTTTTAAAAATCGATATAATGGCGGCCTGAAGGCTAGGCTAGACCATAACTATAAGCAATTAATGTTAATAACAGGGATTTACGACAATTGTGACATTTTATATCTCACGACTTTTTGTCCCTCACACCAGTACGAAGCCTTAACCGTGACCTTATGTTCGGTTCCCAATAACGCGAACGGTCAAAAATACGGACTCTATATTCTAAGATTTTTACTTTCATTGAAGTAAACAGAATTTCTCAACGTTCTTCAAGCACCGATGGTCATCTGTCAGTCCCCCACTGCCTGTCAAACAAGGTTATGGCGGTAGTGAAACTCATGGAGTGGTCATCGATTCTTCTGAATTTATTTAACTTTTAAGATAAACTTCAAGTTTGGGCTTAACCACTTCAATAAACCATTACTGAAACATGTTGCAACATTCTTAAAGAGGAATGTTTAAAACAGATTATATTAACTAGGTGCAGCCAGTCCACGCCCTGGCTCCAATAAAAATAATGAAGGAGTTTGTTTTAATTCTAAATGAAAAGCTCTAACAAAGAACTTGAAAATGATTTTAAATGTTCCATTAAAATATTATTTTGAAGTTGTGTTGTTTACTTTGGGGCAGCTGGATGACTAAATATGATGATTATTTCAGAATAACGGCGAGTATGATGAGCTCGATGATGAGGAGGGAACCCACTCTCGACTACATAGCCGTCAGTTACATAGGTCAGTTAAAAATTATCTGCTACGCTCGACAGTTTTTAAATCATTTGAGTTACGATGTCAGATATGTTCATAGTATAGGTCAGTTATGAATATGAGAAAATCAGCAAGTTTGGTTATAGTAAAGGCGCAGTAAGTTGTCGGTTGTATCGTTTGATCTAAATTAAGAATAAGTTACATGTTATTTTACTGAGATAAGGCTTGTATTCAACTCAAATTATAATTGATAAAAGTGATTTTAGTCTCCCATTAAGTTGTTGAAGTGATCAACCGCCTTTAAATTGGGAGTTGTGAGGTCCTACAAAATCTGTGGTGAGAAATTAACACAATCTGTTCTGTTCCAATTCCATACTAAGAGATATTTAAAGCTTGTAATAGCTTCCAATTTGTTGCGATTCTTAACTATCATCACGATTCTCAAATTATCATGATTTTTGAAGCCGTCCCCCAATCACTATATATAATCAGTTATGCAATGGAGCATTTTAACGGTCAAACCAGTCCCTGTTTTAGAACAGTTCGCAAAAAAATGTGATCAATGAGAAACGCGGTGGCTCGAAATATTTAGTTTATTCTCGAAAGTATTATAACTTGTCATCAAATTTCAAAATTAAAGCCGTTGCAGTGCGATTAATGTTTAATCGCAAGTTTTGCCGCAGAATGAAAAAAATGTTCTCGTACTTGTATATTGTTTATTGTCTCCTATCCGCCTTTCATCATTATAGAAGGTTAGTGTTTAATCGGGTTTTATTTCAATCAGGTGAACAACTTTGCTCTCGATTAACACTTTTCTGTCAGTACTCAGTCAGTTAGATATCATTAGACACGTATTGCGAGAAAAAACCCTCTGTTTAGTGAACCTGAAGATAAACAAGAGATTGCTATGAAAGCAGCAATAAAACCTGCTTACTTTTTCTCAAGTACAGAAAACCATTCGCAACTCATAAAATTAAGTCATCTCAAGTCTTCTGTTTCGTTGAGTTCTCCAGAACCACACTCAAATTTCAATGACACATAATATAATAGTCTATTAGATCACAAAGACGCTAACGACCAGTAGTAGAGGCGGGACGGAGTCACGGAGCTGTAGTCCTCACCACTTGCAGCCTCTCTTGATCGTCAATATTTTTCACAACTTTGCTGCGGTTCACTCTTATTTGTGTTCACACACTGTAAACTGTTAGGTTGCACTTTACAGGCTATCCTTACATATTTGTGGGATTAACCACTCTTACAGTGTTAATATTTTCCCTGCTGAATAATTTACTTTCATGCAAAATCTTAGCAAGATCTTGCATCAAAATGAATTTCACGTTTGGTACTGGTAGTGAGTCTTCCAAAACAAGATTAATGAGTTCGATAACATTTGCTGTTTTATTCTTTGTTGGCACTCCTCAGAGGAAGGACAACTAGGTAGTGAAGCAAAACCTTGTTTAACCAAGACAAAGAGTTGATCATTTATAAGCTCATTCCGAAATCTATTCCGATGTCCTGCGTCGAGGCTGAAATTACAACAATCTTTGTAGTTAACCCAATAATATGTTGAATAATTAATTACTTTGAGTAGTGCTCTTTAATTACAATCATTAAATAAAAGTCGCTAGCATATAATTTGTATTAAAAGCTCACTTTGCAAGAGCTTTCTGCATAAAAATACAGACCAATTAAATGGTACAAAATGTAAATGATATCGCAACCTCTTTTTGACGTCAGATAATATGTTGTTCTTATTTCCCGGGCTTTGTTTGCAAATGTATATACTATTGTATTAACACCCGCCCCTTAAGTACTTCAGTAATCGATAAACTTAATTGATAATCAAATTGTTTATAATTGTTTATAATTGCCTATAGTTGCTTTTATTTGTGTATGTAATTTAAATTTAATCGTAGCCTCATCAGAAATACTATAGCCCTTCAATGCAACAATCAGACATTTTCAATAGACAATAGTACTAATTATATTCTAGCATGGGAAAGTAAAGCCGTACAATAGTATAGTTGTAACGAGGAGTTACATACTAACTGCTTCACTGTTTCTTTTATTTAATGTCTCCAAATTTTCTGTTCTTTTCATTTTGTTTTTATCTTTCTCTCGAGTTTTCTAGAGAAAGTTTTTCCGATTTTACCTGCTGGAATCAACAGCCCAGCCACAACATTTTACCGTAATGAAATTAGGAAATGAACCATGTATTGAAAGGTGGTTAGACTCAATTTGCCGGCTGATCGAATCTTGACCACCCGGCAAACACCACAACCAGCTCATTACCGACCCCACAGCGGGCCCCTGGGATTTGAGGAACAGTAGATCATTAACATCACGTAAAATGCAATATCGAAGGTACACCATTTACACCAGGACTTACCATGAGTGATATATTGAGCGAGCCGGTGCTCACGAGTATCATTTAAACATGGGGTTTAGATTCTGTGAGGCAGATTATTCGTTCAGTTAGTCGCTTCCCATGTCTATTCTCATGTTGTGAACACCCCTGTGACTCTGGTAGTGGAAGCTCTGTCTGCTTTTTCAACGAACTTTCTGAAAAATCTAACTAGCTGTATGGTTTATTTATGCTTTATAAAATTAAAACTGTGCTGATCGCAACTCCGTTGGGATTCTTCCACAGAATGGTGATCAGTTCTTCAATGACGCCACTTTTCTTTGGTCCTCAGTCGACAGTCATTGTGACACTGATTAACGTCACTAGTTTTTATTTCATGTGTTCGTGCACTTAAACCAAGTGTAGAAAAATTCATCAGCTTGGCATTGTTCCTAGACCTCTTCGAGTTTCGCACAATTGATGAAACATTAGTGTCTACCATTAGTATTTTGGTAGATTTTCCGACATCTTGCTAATGGTTAAAAGTAGACGCTGAAATGTAATTTCTCAATTATATTTTGACGGAATTTCACTGTAGTTCGGCTTGCTATGAGGCGGAAGCCGTCTCTTCTGAGTCAACCTGGTAGCCGGCCAGGGATACATTCTTACAAAGAGGAAGGTTAAAATCCTCTTTATTTTATCCCAAGGTAAGAATTAGTCATGTCAAGTGGTCGTGAAGATATACTGATAATAATTATAATTATTTTGAATTTGCTCTGAAAAGCCCCTGAAAATGACCTTTAACTTTCACCACACGATCTTTATTCTGTTGTTTCGGTGACATTTCCCCTCTGTCGGTGATAGGTTTACCGCTTCTTTGAATAATCCAATTATGCGTGGTATTTGCTAACTTATCATTCAGCAAGGACCAATTCCTAATCCCCTATTTGTCCTCCGCAACCTCGGCATGTCAGTTGACTGGGTGGATTCGATGAGCTCTTTTTAATTGGATTCGGAAAATCGAAATCAGAGGAGTAATGCATAACAAGATTAACGTGGACCTAGTTTGTTCCTTCACCGAATAGCTCTTTGATACAGATGCTAGTTTATCATTCATTGTGAACTTTTTGGCTTCATCGCGTCAAGTGGACCGATCTTTCCTACATTGATTTATGTGGATCCGTAAAAGTGCACAAAATAGTCTGCAGCCGGAGGAAAGCTAAGCGCGTTTAGCTGGATAACTTACCAACTGTGTTACTAGAGACTGAATTTATAATCACTGCCTTCCATCTGCCCTCACAGTTTTGTTTGTAGTCTTGTTTGGAATTCGGAATTTCCAATGTATTCTTGCTTTAGTCAGTTTTTGGCTTTAGACGTACCAGTCACAATTTACCCGAATAATCTACGATCATTGGAGATTGGACGAATTGTAGGTTGTAAAGTTTCTGTTATTGTCGTTGACATTCTGAATACTTAATGCTAGGTACAGTTCTGCAATTGGTCGTTTTGCTGCTTCTACAGTTTTCCCGAATACTACAGAAATTCTTTTAAATAAGGGTCACATACTCAACTCTTTCAGGCATATATTCTTGATATGTATGATATATCTATATTTTCACTTCATTCGTTCTGACTCAGTCACAGAAATCATTTGAAATATAAATTAATTAGATTTGAACATGCTTCTTCATGTTCCGACTAACTTCATATCTTTTAGCACGTTGAGAATGAATTGTTCTAGCCATGATGAATTGATTGCGGTGGCGTAAAATCATGAAGTTATTGTCACTTACTAGATTTGTATATTCTGTGCTATCTCTTGATATAATGGATATAATTGTATTTGATAATTTCACATACCTGACTTGAAGCTTCTCTCTGCATTTACCCCTCGAATTGTGAGGAAAGCTTTCAAGTACAGGGTGAGTTGAAAATAATGTTTGGATTTTAAATGGGTCTAATTTCTGAGATAAAATAAAAAATCACTCCATTTTTGCATATTTAGGTCATAAAAATAAAATAATATAATTACTTAATAATCAATAATTTGCTCAATCCAGCGTCCCAATTATTCTTATGTAAATGGGGGGCCTTCATTGAAATTTTCTCGAAATCGACTTTTTAGTTGTATCTGATAGAAAAATATTTATCATTTTTACAATCCACACATTATTTTCAACTCCCCCTGTACTTGATGATTTAGCAAATTGTCACAAGTCTTTACCTCGATTGTAACCATATCCCTCAACGCTTTTTCCCTATAAGAGTCATTTATTGGCAAATAGTCGTTCATTCCTCTTTTGTTCCTATTTTGTTCCAAGTATGACAATTAAACATTCCCAACCTGAATAGAGGTCATTGTTCTTCACTAAGTTGTATTTCAATGTCCACCCCTCTAATTCTGACTGAATTTACAACCAAACTTCACAAGGAATATGGAAGCAAGTAGTATTAAAAAGCTTTACTCAACATATCTCGACCAGTCACCATATGTCATAGCGGATGGCTCATGGCATGCTATTGAACAGCGCAATGATAATGCTTTCATTCAACAGACCATTTCTTCGTTCTTTGTCTATAATTCATAATATTCTCAAAAAATGTAGAAGAAGATAGATTTTTAGACTCGATTTTCAGGGCACGCGATTTGAGAACCCCATTAGGACGAATTTACGAATTTTTG